TACCCAGCAAGCCTTTGTCTTCCTTTCTTTCTTCCCTCTTTTGAGTGTTGAACTCAAACTCTGGACTGCATCTCTTTGCCTCTCCTCTAAGAACTTTCTCCATCAAGTGTCTTCTTCTCCCGTACTTTTCATGTGTCCTTTTTTGACTGGCATCTTCTAGTGGCCTATAAACATCTCCAGAGCTTCCTTTATCACAGTAAATTGTCCTCCTCTCCACTCCAAACCCTCTTAAATTACTCAATGCCTTTGTCATTTACATTGCACTCTGTGTTGGATAACATGTTGATCATATAAAGAAAAATAACATGCAGTCCCTATCTACAAGTAGCCCACAGTCAAAAGGGCAGATAGAAAGTCGAATTTGCAATACAATATAGCAAGTATTATGCAGAGGCGTGTACTCAGTACTCTGCAGGGAAGCACCAAAAGCAATTCCTCCACCGGGCGGCAGCCGCCCCGTGAGTTTGGTGTTCAGCAGTGAGTAGGAATTTAGCAGGCAAAGAAGAATGGGCATGGGGAGTCTCAAAGAGAATACCCATTTGTTCCTCTACTTCCTACAATAACTTTGAGAACATATATTTTTCCAGAAAAACATTCATTTTATAAAAATTCTAATTTTTATTAGACATATATATAATATTCTAATATAACTTTAACCTTTACCTCTGCTGCTGTGTTCCTTTTCTAATATCTAATTTTGTTAATGTTTGCTTTTTCATTCTTTCTTGATCGATGCCAAGGCTTAATCTATAATACCAATAGTGTTTACCAAAAAAAAAAAAAAAAAAAAAAAAAATCATCTCTTGACATACCAGGTCTACCATTTTTCGTCTTCTAATTCACTAAGTTTGACTTTACATTGTTGGTTCTTTCCTGTGTTATTTCATTCATAATTATTTTTCCTCAATTTAAAAACAATTAAAATAACTAAGGCTGACTAAAGCGAGAGTTGACTCCCAATTTCCGAGTTGCTTTCTTCTTTGGAGCAGAATAAGCTGTTGGTGTACTATGGGGGTGGGTAGAGCAAAGCCTGGTGGTGTGAATTGAATTTGCTGTGTAACTTCAACAAGCGGCCAACTTCCCTGAGCCTAATATTCCTATCAAATAATATTTTCTGCAAAGAAATTTAAAATATAGTGCATAAAGCAGCTATTAAAAGGTCTAGTACTTTATAAATGCTCTCGAAATGGTGTACATTTCATATTATCATTGTTTTTGTTACTACTACTGCAAATTCTATTAGTACCACAATTACTATTCTACTGTTATTATTATTACTTCCTTTGATTTATTTTTTGGGAAGTGCATCACTTTTTTTTTCTCTTATTTTTAATTTGCAATTAATGTATTGTGGTCAGAGACTATGGCTTGAAAATATCCAGTTATTAAATCATTGAGATTGTCGTCACAGCGTAATATATGATGAGTTTTTGTAGCTGTTTTGTAAACTCTTGAAAAGAAGGCATATTCTCCATGGAAGATATCTCATACTTCAGTTCTCAGAAATGGATAGTATCATATGAAAGTCTTCATCACCAATGAAGTTTACGTTAACTTCTCATTTTATTTCTGACTGAATTTATTTTATACATTTTGATGCGATATTTTTAGCAATTAAAAACGATTATATTGATTGTTGCATTGAATTTTTAACATGACTTCTATATTCCATATTATATTTGTTTTGTTTCTACCTTTATCTTTTCAATTGTATTAGCCAGACTTATTTTATTCATAGTTTTATTTTTAACCTTTCTATATGACTCTGATCTCTGTTTTTAAAGCAGAAATCTAGCTAGAAATGGATTTTTATTCACTATTTCTGATTCTTCACTTTTAAGGCTACGTCTGGCTTTCCTTATACAATCTTCGCTTATGCTTTGTGTTTTCACATTTTTCCTTTGTTTCCTTTCTTTTGTTTATTCACTTATACTTTTAGCTATATAAATTCTGTTGACTTGCCTTTATCAATACAGTCATTTAAAATTTTTAATTCTATTAATAGTTCAAATGTTTAATAATAAAAATAAATCTGTATGCCTCAAATACAAAAGCTAAATAGATAAACCAATATCCTTTGACCCTCCTATGCAAGACAAAGAAAACAGGAAGTTTTAATTTATCTCAATAACACCTCAGCACATTCTGTGGTCTTCATTAATTCAATATGAGATTGTAGACTCAGGTTATATTTGTTAAACTCTTATTATTTACAATATATATCTTCTGTTTAGATACATTTTGATTATCTAATTTAGTTTGATTTAATAGTCTATTTATAAACATTAATTATCTTATTTCTATAAGTACGTGTTTAATTGATCTTAGTGTTTATGACTGATCATTTTCTCACTACAAATTGCACAGCTTGAGTCCTTAATTCTGGAATACATATTTAAGTAATCACTTCCAGGAAATGATAGCAGTGGTGTTTTTCTGGAATCGTTACTCACCTGATATATTGATGATGAGGAGGAAAAGGATGACAAGCTGATAATTATAATAACAGCAGATGACATCTGTGACTGATAATGTATCAGGCAGATAGGTTTACATGTATTAGCTCAGTTAATCCTCACAAAATACTACGAGATAGGTAGTATTATTCTCTCACTTTTAAAGATAACAAAACTAAGGCCCAGAGAGGTTACATAACTACCTGAGGTTACACAGCTGGTTAGGAACCGAGCCAGTGTTCTGTAACTTTACAGAAAGTTTTCTGTAACTTTAATAAATAGATGGAACTTGATTGGATCTGAAACTAGGACCTGGGGATCACAGCCATTTCCTATCAAAACTTTGTCATTGGGCATTTAATAACGTCCAGGAGTTGGAGGTTCTCTTAATTTTGTTTCTCTTTGTACGTACAAGGTTCTTGGATTCTTGTAGAAACATGATCTTTCTTTGTTATCAAAAATACTGACAGGCTGTGTCATGGCATGAATATCATTCAATTAATTTTATCTGGGACATAGCGAGCATATTTTAATGTACATTCCAAAATCAGTTTTTGTGTTTGTTTTTTTAATACACAAGTATATTTTCTTCAATTGTGTTTTGATTATTGCTGCTGTTTATTTCCTGTTTAATTTGATCATCTTTTATCTAAGAAAGTCCACTCGGAGCTTGTTTCCCAATAGACAGGCTTATAGATTGTCACTGAACCCCTAAAATCTGCTTGACGAATGCTGGTGTGGTTCCATCTCCAGATGAAAACACAGAAGTCTCCCTGACGTGCCCAGCCAGGGCTCCCATTTAGTGCCTATTCGCAGACAAGATGAGATCTTTGCTGCCCACACAGGTCTGGCAGCAAGGAAGAGGGTCCATGTTCTAAACACAAATTCAAAGGCCCATGGATGAGGCCTACACATCCCCTCACACTCTGTGCCAGAACTTCCTGCCTTGCTTCCAGAGGGGACCCGGTCACCCAGCATCGTCGAGTGGGGACAGGTGTAGCCTCTGAACCATGACTCCCATGGCCTCTAGCACCGTGCCTTCATGCATGGTGGGTGGCTCCAGGGTTTTCTTGTCCAGACAGTCTCCACTTCTCTATCTTTGAGCAAACAGTTCTTCTGGCAAGAGATTCAGCCACTGAAGCACATATGGGACCAATTATGTTTCTCAATTGTTATGTCTTCTATTAGTCAGGGTTCTCTAGAGAAACAGAACCAGTAGGAGATACATATATTTATTTTTATATTTTTAAAATTTATCTATCAATTAATACATATATACATGGAGATTTATTAGGAGGAATTGGCTTACAGGATTATGGAAGCTAAGAAGTCCCAAAGTCTGCCATCTGGCAATTGGAGACCCAGGAAAGCTGGTGGTTTAATTCCAGTCTGATTCCAAAGGTCTGAGAACCAGAGGAGCTGATGGTGTAAATCCCAGTCCAAGGTCAGAAGAAGATGAGGTAAGATGTCCCAGCTCAAACAGGAATGCAGGAAGGGAAATCCTCCCTTCCTCCTCCATTTGTTCTATTCAGGCCCTCAACAGATTGCATGACGCCCACTCACATTGGAGAGGGCAATCTACTTTATGGAGTCTACCGATTCAAACGCTAATCTCAGCCAGAAACCCCCTCACAGACACACTCAGAAATAATGTTTAATCTGGTCATCCCATGGCCCAGTCAAGTTGACACATAAACTTAACCATCACATGAACTAAATTGTGTTCCTCAAAATTCATACTTTGAACCCTAACCTCCAGTGCCTCAGAATGTGACTGTACTTGGAGATAGTGCATTTAAGGGGATAATTAAGTTAAAATGAGATAATTAGGGTGGGCCCTAAACCAGTCTGACTGGTCCTTATAAGAAGAGGAGATTAGGATACACAAAGAGACAGCAGGGATGTGCACCCAGAAGGAAGACCGTGTGAGGACACAAGGAGAAGACGGCCATATACCAGCCATAGAGAGAGGCTTCAGAAGAAATCAACCCTGCCAACACCTTGATCTCAGACTTCTAGCTTCCAGAACTGTGAGACAATAAATTTTTGCTGTTTAAGCCACCCAATCTGTGATACTTTGTTATGGCAACCCTAGCAGACTAACACATCAATCCAGTCTTCTTTGTTTTGTGGTTTGTAGAAATTCCTTCCAGACACTTGCTAAACTTAGTTTGTAGAACTTCTATGTATTTATTTTTTTTCTTTGCATCTATTAATAAGAAGCTGGGCTCACAGGGATTGATACTCTGACCCTATGTTAACCTGGAAGCTGACCTGCACTTGCTCTTTGGTTCATTACAGGCAGGGTTGACTCCCCCCACATGTGGAATATGCCGGCTTGAAAGTGGTCTGACAGCCCCACAGTCAGGACTTTTTCTCTCCCTCACCTTCTGCAGTTCCTTTGCTGAAGCTCTCTTTCCACCACCTGCTTTCCTTTCCTTTCATTACAGGGGCTGTGCTGTCCTGCTTGCCCCAATTCTTGGATGACCTTCTCCATGTCATTGGCTCCTCTATTAAAATATATCCCACTATCTATTAAAATATTAACAATCTACTAATAATAGACTTAAATCTATTAAAATAGATCTCCAATATTTTATCCTCAAATCTTCTCTCCTCTTTCTCTGTGCCTTATCCTTTGGCAACCCATTACTCAGATAGTTTTAATTATCTCCTTCCTGCAGAGATGAATACCACTGAGTCCACGGTCACAGGCTCCATCGAGGCCCTGCTGGGCATTGGCCCTGGATGACCCTTTGAAGTCATTATGTCTGTATTAGTTTGCTAGAGCTATTATAACAAAGCACCACAGACCAAGTGACTTAAACAACAGAAATTTATTTTCTCAAAGTTCTGGAGGCTAGAGTCCAAGACCAAGGTATTGGTGGAGTTTGTTTCTTCTGAGGCCTCTCTCCTTCACATGTAGTTGGCTGTCTTCTCCCTGTGTCCTCACATGGTCTTCCCTCTGTGTGTGAGCATGTTATGTACAAATCTCCTCTTCTTATTGGGATGTCAGTCAGATTGGTTTAAGGCACACCTTTATGGCCTAATTTCAACTTAATTACCTCTTTAAAGACCTTGTCTCCATATACAGTCACATTCTGAAGTTAGGGCTTCAACATATGAATTGGTGGGGGAGAGACACAATTTAGTCCATAACAATGTCCAGCACCAAAGCCTTCATATACACCTTTGAACCAGGGCTACCTCCTGGCATTTCTTTTGGGCATGACTCTTGTTTCAGCATTTAATTTTAATCCTTGAAGTCACAATTTGCTACATAGCCTTTGTAGTCTGTCAGTTATGAAATCCTAAATTTCTGTTTCTTTAAATATTTCAGATCATTTTCCATTAAAAAAAATTCCTCTGCTATAACTATAGCTCTGGTCCATATTTCTGGCTGTATGGGTTATTGCATTCATTTTGTTAATGGTGTTTACGTGGTCTGCCTCTTTTTCTTGCAATCCATTCTACACATTGCTCCTTTCTCTCTTCAATTTATCCCCTCACCCCCTTCTTTCCCTCCATTCTACCTCCCTACCCTCTCTCCCACCTTCCCTCTCTTTAATAGATACTGAGACTTTTCTGTACCAGGAACTGTGCTAAATTCACACTCCAGCCAACACATGAGAGCTTTGGCGGTGATGGCCCTCCAGAGTGCCTTACCACTTGCTCTTCTGAATTTTCTCTGCAGGGAAGAGGTAGCCAGCTCTAACTGGAAAATACACAGGGGTCTTTGTCATCCTTTCTCAGAGAAGAAGAGTCTGGAATAATGAATGCGGAGAAGTTTTCTTTAACAAGCCCTGAGGGACTACATTCCACATTATTTTGAGGCCTATTAAATTGGCATTTCAACCTTAATGAAACAAAAATAAATAATTTACCTGATAAAGAGTTCAAAATAATTATCATAAAGATGGTCACTGAGCTCAGGAGAAGAATGGATGAACAAGGTGAGAATTTCAACAAAAAGATAGAAAATATAAGAAAGTACCAAATAGAAGTCACAGAGATGAAGAATTCAACAACTGAACTGAAAAATATAATAGAAAGCTTCAATAGCAAACTAGATGAAGCAAAAGAAAGGATAAGTGAACTCAAAGACAAGGCAGTGGAATTCACCCAATCAGAGCAGCAAAAAGAAAAAGAATGAAAAAGAGTTAAGATAGCTTAAGGGACTTATGGGAAAACATCAAGTGGACTAACATTCATATTATTGGGGTCCCAGAAGGAGAAGAGAGAGAGAAAGGGGCAGACAATTTATTTTAAGAAATAACTGAAAACTTCCCTACCCTGGGGAAGGAACCAGACATCCAGATCCAGGAAGCCCAGAAAGTTCCAAATAAGATGAACCCATAGGGACCCACACCAAGACATATTATAATTAAAGTGAAAAAGTTAAAGACAAGGAGAGACTCTTAAAAGCAGCAAGAGAAAAACATCTTATCACGTACAAGGGAACCTCCATAAGACTATAAGCATATTTTTCAATGGAAACTTTGCAGGCTAGAAGCAAGTGCCAGAATATATTCAAAGTGCTGAAAGAAAAAAACTTCCAACCAAGAAGACTCTACCCAGCAAAGCTGTCCTTCAGAATTGAAAGAGAAATAAAGTTTTCCAGATAAGCAAAAACCTTTAGCTTGTCATCACCACTGAACTGTCCTTACAAGAAATGTTAAAGAGACTTCTTTAAGCTGTAATGAAAGGGCACTAATTAGTAACAAGAAAACATACAAAAGTATAAATCTCACTATATATAATATATGGTAAATAATATAAATAAGATAAATACATAGTAAAATTCAGAATAATCTAATGTTGTAAAGGCGGTAGGTTAATACTTATAAAGGTAGTATGAAGGTTAAAAAATAAAAGTAGTAAAAATAACTATAACTACAATAATTTGTTAATGGAGTCACAAGATGAAATCTAAAACGTGACATCAAAAACATAAAATGTTGCAGGGGGGAGTAAAATGTAGAGCTTTAGAATGCGTTGGAACAGAAGTTGTTATCAACTTAAAATAGACTGCTATAAACATAATTTGTTTTATGTAAGTCTCATGGTAACCAAAAAACAAAAAACTATAGTAGATAAACAGAAGATAAAGAGAAAGGAATCTAAGTATACCACTACAGAAAATCATCAAATCACAAAGGAAAAGAGCAAGAGCAGAAGAATGGAACAAAGAAATTGCAAAACAACCAGAAATCAATTAACAAAATGGCAATAAGTATCATAACTATCAATAATTACTTTAAATGCAAATGGATTAAATTCTCCAATCAAAAGACTGAATGGATAAAAAAACAAGACCCATCTATGCTGCCTACAAGAGACTCACTCCAAATGTAAGGACACACATAGAATGAAAGTGAAGGGATGGAAAAAGATGCTCCATGCAAATGGAAACCACAAGAAAGCCAGGGTAGTTGTACTCATGTCAAACAAAATAGACACTAAGACAAAGACAGTAATAAGAGACAAAGATGGTCATTGTAATGATAAAGTGGTCAATCTAACAAGAGGATATAACTTTTGTAAATATTTATGTACCCACCATAGGAGCACCTAAATATATAAAGCAAATACTAATAGACCTAAAGGGAGAAATAGAGAACAATACAATAATAGTAAGGGACGTTAATACCCCACTTTCATCAATGAATAGATCATCCAGACAGAAAATCAATATGGAAACATGGGCCTTAAACAACATGTTAGACCAGATGGACTTAACAGATATACAGAACATTTCATCCAAAAGCAACAGAATACACATTCTTCTCAAGTGCACATGGAACATTCTCCTGGATAGATCATATGTTAGGCCACAAAACAAATCTTAATAAATTTAAGAAGATTGAAATCATATGAAGCATCTTTTCTGACCACAATAGCATGAAACTAGAAATCAGTTATAAGAAGAATACTAGAAAAGTCACAAATATGTGGAGATTAAACATGCTACTGAACAACCAATGGGTGAAAGAAGAAATCAAAAGAGAAATCAAAAATACCTTAAGACAAATGAAAATGGAAATACAACATACCAAAACTTGAACAGATAAAGAAATTGACAAACTTTTACCTAGACTAAGAAAAAAAGAGAAGACTCAAATAAATAAATCAGAAATGAAATAGGAGACTTTACAACTGATGCTACAGAAATAAAAGGATCATAAGAGACTACTGAGAACAATTATATGCAAACCAACTGGATAACCTAGAAGAAATGGATAAATTTCTAGAAACATACTACCTACCAAGAATGAATCAAGAAGAAATAGAAAATCTGAACAGACAAATAATGAGTAAGGAGATTGAATCAGTAATCAAATACATCCCAACAAACAAAAGCCTGAGACCAGATGGCTTCACTGGTGAATTCTACCAAACATTTAAAGAAAAATTAATATCAATCCTTTTCAAACTCTTCCAAAAAATAGAAGAGTAGGGAACACTTCCAAACTCATTTTATAAGGCCAGCATTACCCTCATACCAAAACTAAACAAGGAGACCACAAGAAAAGAAAATTACAGGCTAATATTCCTAATGAATATAGATTCAAAAATCCTCAACAAAATATCAGTAAACCAAATTCAACAATATATTAAAAGGATCATACACCATGATCAAACGGGATTGAGTCCAGGGATGCAAGGATGGCTCAACATCCACAAATCAATCAAATGTGATATACCACATTAGCAAAATGAAGGATAAAAAATCATATGATCATCTCAATAGATGCAGAAAAAGCATTTGGCAAAATTCAATGTCCATTTACGATAAAAACTCTCAACAAAGTGTATAGAGAAAAGGTAACTCAACATAATAAAGGCCATATATGACAAGCACAGCTGACAGCATACTCAGTAGTGAAAAGTTGAAAGCTTTTCATCCAAGATCAGGAACAAGACAAGGATGCCCAGTCTCACCACTTTCATTCAACATAGTATTGGAAGTTCTAGCTAGAGAAATTAGGCAAGAAAAGAAATAAAAGGCATCCAAACTGGAAAGGAAGAAGTAAAACTGTGGCTATTTGTAGATGACGTAATATTATATAGAGAAAACCCTAAAAACTCCATCAAAAAAACTGTATAAATGAATTTTATACATTTCAACTAATAAATTAATTCAGTAAAGTTGCAGGATACAAAATCAATATCCAAAAACCTGTTGCATTTCTATATAATAATAAAAAACAATCAGAAAGAGAAAGTAAGAAAACAATCTCATTTACATTTGCATCAAAAAGAATAAATACCTAGGAATAAATTTAACTAAGGAGGTGAAAGACTTGTACACTGAAAACCATAAGACCTTGATGAAAGAAACTGAAGAAGACACAAATAAATGGAAAGATATTCCATGTTCATGGATTAGAAGAATTAATATCGTTAAAATGTCCATTCCACCCAAAGCATCTACAGATTCAATGCAACCCATATCAAAATGCCAACAGCATTTTTCACAGAAATAGAACAAACAACGCTAAAATTTGTCTTAAACTACAGAAGACCCCAAATAATCAAAGCAAATTCGAGAAAGAAGAACAAAGCAGGAGGAGTTACACTCCCTGATCAAACTATATTACAAAGCTATAGTAATCAAAACAGTATGGTACTGGCATAAAAACTGACACAGACCAGTGGAACAGAATAGAGAGTCCAGAAACAAACCTAGGTATACATAGTCAATTAATTTACAATAAAGGAGCCAAGAATATATACAATGAGGGAAGGATAGTCTCTTCCATACACAGTGTTGGGAAAACTAGACAGCCACATGCAAAAGAATGAAACTAGAACACTTATCTTATACCATACATAAAAACTAACTCAAAATGGATTAAAGAGATGAATGTGAGACTTAAATCCATAAAACTCATAAAAGAAAACACAGGCAATAAGCTCCTTGACCTTGGTCTTGGCAATGACTTTTTGGATTTGATGCCAAAAGCAAAAATAAACAAGTGGGACTCTATTAAACTAAAAAGCTTCTGCACAGAAAAGGAAACCATCAACAAAATGAAAAGGCAACCTGCTGAATGAGAGAAAATATTTGCAAATCATATATCTGATAAGGGATTAATATCCAAAATATATAAAGAACTCATACAACTCAATACCAAAAACATAAGCAATCTGATTTAAAAATAGTCAGGGGATCTGAATAGACATTTTTCCAAACAAGACATACATGTGGCCAAAAGGTACATGAAAAGCTGCTCAACATTACTAATCATCAGGGAAATACAAATCACAACCACAATGAGATGTCACCTCATACCCATTAGAATGCTATCATCAAAAAGACAAGAAATGAGCGTTAGTGAGGTGGAGAAAAGGGAACCCTTGTGCACTGTCGGTCGGAATGCAAATTGGTGCAGCTACTATGGACAAAAGTACGGAAGTTCCTCAAAAAATTAAAAATAGAACTACCATATGACTCAGCAATTCCACTTGTGGATATTTATCCAAAGCAAACAAAAATGCTAACTCAAAGAGATATCTGCACCCTCATGTTCATTGCAGCATTATTTACAATAACCAAGACACGGAAGCAACCTGTTTCCATCAATAGATGAATGGATAAAGAAAATGTGGTGTATATATATATACCCGAATATTATGAGTATATCAATATTATTCAGCCATAAAAAAGAATAAAACCTTGCCATTTGCGACAACATGGATGGACTTTAAGGGATTATGCTAAGTGAAATAAGTCAGACAGAGCAAGACAATTCCCATATAATCTCACTTATATGTGGAAACTAAAGGAAAAAAAAAGCCAATGAACTCATAGAGAACAGATTGGTGTTTGTCAGAGGCAGGGGGTTGAGGGGGCTGAAATGAGTGAAGGTACAAACTTCTAGTTATAAAGTAAATAAATCATAGGGTGTAATGTAGCCTGGTGACTACAGCTAATAATACTGTGCTGTATATTTGAAAGTTACTAAGAGAGTGAATCTTAAAAGTTCTTATCACAAGAAAAAAAATTTGTAATTATGTGTGGTGATGGATGTTAAGTAGACTTGTGATGATCATTTCGCACTACACACAAATATTGAATCATTATGTTGTACACCTGAAACTAATATAATGTTATATGTCAATTATATCTCAATTTTAAAAATGGTTTTTTAAAAAGTGGCCTCTCAATGTAATATCACAGGTGAGGAAAACTTTAAGCACAATTAATCCTTATTAAGTTGACCCCATTTTAGGAATTCAGATTTCATTTTTAAAAATTTCAGGCATACTATGATTA